TTGGGCTCTCGGATCCGGAAGTTCCTTAGTCCTCCATGTTTAGGCTGTAGCATCTGGAAGTTCCTCAGGTGCATGTCCCTGTTTAGGCCCCCGGATCCGGAAGTTCCAAAGGCGCACGTCCATGTTTAGGCCCCTGGATCTGGATGTTCCAAAGGTGCATGTCCATGTTTAGGCTCTAGGAMTGGAAGTTCCTCAGGTGTCCATGTTTAGACATGTAATATATTTTTTGAAAATGAGTTGACAAAGTCAGGGAATAAGAAGGCTAGAACAGGGGGTTCGGGTTGTAGCTCAGTGGTAAAGTGCTTGCCTAACATGAGTGAGGCATTGGGTTTGATTCTCAGCACCACATATACATAAATAAAAATAAAGTTCTATAAATAATTAAAAAAATAAAGTTGAATTAAAAAAAAAAAAAAGAAGGCTAGAACATGTTAACCTGTTTGGCCCCATCATCCCAGGTATGGAACACCTATAATATCTTAAAGTGAACAACAAATATACTACTTTTGGTAATTTTGAAATAATATTTGAATATTTATTATATTTGTAGAATTGAAAACTTGAGGCTTAATGTGTTAAATGAACATTTCTGGCTAAAAGTGTGGTTAGAGAGATTGGCAGCAGCCAGAATGGGTCGTTGAATATGATCATAAGAACAATTGGGGAACCATTAAAAGGTTCTTAACAGGGCAATGACATAGTGTGAACATGTGATGGTGGTGGCTTGGATTAGAATGGTAATAGTGAAGATGGAGAGTAGTAGGGATATGTAAGAAGTACTTGTAGGAGATACCCTATGGTTACCCCTAATTAGTTATACCTGTGTGTGATCCCTTCCCCTTGAATGTGCGCAAAACCTGTGATTTTTGGTTAACAGAAAATGACTAAGATGATGAGCTATCAATTCCCTTGACTAAATCTCTATATACAGCAAAGGTGATAGGATATTACTATAAATAGTAAATATAAATATTTACTTATTTATTATTTTAAAATTTTTCGATGGATAAATATTTATTGTAGATGGACACAATATGTATTTACTTATTTTATGTGGTCTTGAGTAGTGTCTCACACATGTAAGGCAAGCGCTACTGAGCTACAGCCCCAACCCCTCTCTCTACTTCTTGACCACCATGATGTTCTGCCTCACTTCAAGCCGTGAGGAATGGAGCTGGCCTTCTCTGGACTAAGAGTTCTGAAACTGTGAGCTCTCAAACAAGCTTTTCTTCTCTTACAGTTGTGCTGGTCAGATCCTTTAATCACAGCAGTGAAAAGGCTTACTAAAACAGTGAACAAGGTGGTTAGAAGGTATCTAGAAGAAGCCACATACAGTGACCTGCTCAGGGATTAGGAGACTCAGACAGGAGGACTACAAGTTTGARGGACCTTGGCAACTTAATGAAATCCTATTTATAAATAAATTTAAGAGGGAGGTGGGGACTTGGGGATGTAGCTCAGAGGTAAAATGCTCCTGTGTTCAATCCCCAGAACCACAAATGGAGGAGGAAGAGGAGAAGGAAGAGGAAGAGAAGGAGTATGGATGATGGTATAGCTGAAGAAGAGGTTGGGACAGATGGAGGAATAGGTCTTTGAGATACCAGGAACCCTCCTTCCATGCTAATCGAAAAGTTGCAGGAGAGATGGGTGCAAGATCAGGTAGGTTAGTGGGAAACTGAGATTGTTCCAGGCTGAAAGCTTTTAAACTCACTGGAAAAAAAAAAAAGTTGAGTTATGCATCATTTAAGAATAAAGGTGAAGATAGAAACTGAAAAGTTAAGTGGAAATGCTTTGAAATAGTCTTTGTGCAAAGTTTGAGCTAGCTAGAAAACAGTAAGACTGGCAAGCAATATTGAGTGACTTGTAGTTTTGATGTTATTTGTCATTCTTAAATTGCTAGCTTTGTGGATGGGTGAAATTGCCTACAGAAACTGCCACCACACACTACTTGAGGAATCAAAAATAAATAATCTAGCTGAGAGGTAGGGAGTGTAAAACACATTTTAGCATGAATCAGGTCCTGGGTTCAATCCCCAGTAACAAAATCATCATCATCATCATCATTATCATCATCTAGTTAGATAAGCTGGCATGAAGAGCAGTGTGAAAATAAAGGACAGTTCAATAATTGACTCTTGGATACTTGGTTATTCATTTGGAGTTAATTAGATCCCTTCCTCATATTGCACACAAATTAAGTATATCACAGACATAAATGAAAAGCAAATATTTAATAAAATTTATAGAAGAAAATATGCAGAAGTATCTTTATGACTTCAGAATAGAGATGAAATCTTTTATTTATTTATTTCTGTACCAAGGATTGAACCCAGTGTACTGAGCCACATCCCCAGCCTGTTTTTTTTTTTTTTTTTTTTTTTTGCTCAGAGCCTCACTGAGTTGCTGAGGGTGGCTTTGAACTTGCAGCCATGCACATTTTTTTTCATAGACATAAAAAGCAATATAAAAATAATATAGGAAACTGGGCTGGGGTTGTAGTTCAATGGTAGAGTGCTTGCCTAGCATATGTGAGGCACTGGGTTYGATCCTCAGCACTACAAAAAAAAWAAATAAATAAAAATAAAAATAAAGGTATTGTGTCCATCTACCACTGAAAAAAATCTTTAAAAACCTTTAAAACAATTCATAACAGAAATAGGGATGTGTTTAAAAGTAAATTATATGTAACTGAAGAAAGAATTAAAGATCTGAAAAATAAAATAAGTCACAAAAAAATGTTGTAGATGAGAAACAAAAGAAAAAGAGCAGGTAAGACACACAAGGGTTATAGTGAGGAAGTCTAGCATTTTATTGGACCTCCCCAGGAATGAAAGGGGACAGAAACAGCATCTGTCCCTTGTTTCCCATTCTCATCTTTTTTACAATTAAAATATTTTTGTTAGGACAAATAACATGCCCACATGACGAAGACAAGAGACAGGAAGCAAACCTCATCAGCAGGTTTTTCTTTATTCAGCATTTAGCATCAGAGTCAATTGGTAGAACCCTGGTGTGGCTCATTTTCAGGGCAGAAAATGGCAGGTGGCWGAAGCTAGGGTCTGAGTTACTTGGCTTCTTTTAGGGTGGAACAGGAATGTGAATATAGGGAGTTTCCCTGGGCTTATARTATTGACCTCAGGTGACTCACCAGGGTCCTGGTCAAGTGCCAGTCTGGAGGGGGTTCCTTTTGTGTTCCTTTGGTCTGGCTGAGGCCTGGGATTTTCAATGACAAAAGCTTAGAGAAAATGTCTTTGGACTTATTTCCATATCCTTCAATTTAAAAATTCATCTTGGGGGCCAGGGTTGTGACTCAGTGGTAGAGTGCTTGCCTAGCATACATGAGGTACTGGGTTCAATCCCTGGCACCACATAAATAAACAAACAAACAAAYAAATAAATAAATAAATAAAATTCATCTTTAACTTATGTATTGGCTTTTTCTAAATAATTTTTTAAAAATAGAACAGTTTTAGATTCAGAGAATTATTGCAAACATAGCACAGAAGTCCCATATTACACCCTGCCTCCCCCCCTTTTTTGGAGCTGGGGATTGAACCCAGGTCTTTGTGCATGTGAGGCAAGCACTCTACCGACTGAGCTGTATCTCCAGCCTCAGGTTCCCCTTTTATTAACATTCTCCATAAGTGTGGTATATTTGTTACATTTAATAAAATTTGTTGCTTTATTATTAACTAAAGTCAATGTTTTAATCAGAATGTTAAAACATTTTTAAAAGAAAATAAACAAATGATAGAGAATTGTTTACTATTGATGAGTTCACTAACTGTCTTAGGTGTATTTCATTATCCTCTCTTAGGGATAATGTTTGTATTCATCTATTCATTAAAGAATGGTGGAAATGAGGGCTGGGGATATAGCTCAGTTGGTAGAATGCTTGCCTCATATGCACATGGCCATGGGTTCAATCCTCAGCACCACCCAAGGTGAAAATGAGATAGGGATTTTCCATAGAGAGAGATACTGAATCCTTAAAGGGAGTGTCCACAACCACTGAGATGCAGAGAGCACACTTGTAAAGCTTGAGGTTGAGCGGCATGCCCCTATAAAATGAGGGAAACGTGCAAGTAAAGGAAAAACTGATGAAATTGTGGAGTTCCACTCTGCCTGCACCTCTTATCCACCCTCTAGCACCTGCCCTCTTATTAGCACCGCAGAGATAGCCTGTATTCTCCCTTGAGTTCATATTCCTTGCTTTTACCACAAAGGAATCTCTATTTTGAGTTTATCCTCCACCCTCCGTATGTATCTACTAGCTCTGTCTATGCCTTTGATCCGCATGTACTGAAATTCTTTCCCATCATGTTGGTCAAGAACCCCAGACTGGTTCTGGGTCAAGTTCCCTCTTCTCTCTGGGAACTCCTCACACCCATCTGCGGAGACATCTTTTCTTCCGTGACAAAATTAGGTATTTATAGACCAATAAATGTGTTGCTAGTTCCCTCAAGGGAATGAACAAATTGAATATGTTCTGTGTATAAACTTTATGGACTTTTAAAATGGAAGACAATTTTACAGTCTTTTTATTGACACTCCTTATTTATTTGATCTACTTCATTAAAAATCTTTTATCTCATTTCACTCACTGGGATTTTGCTGTCTCCTATGGTAGCCAGTAATCACATGCTGTAATTTAAATGTGTTCAATTCAAATTAAATAAGACGAAAACTCATTTGTCAGTCTCACCAGCCATCTTTCAAGTTAGAGCCTCACGTGGCTAATGACTTCCGTTTAGGACACTACGGATACAGAACATGCCTTGAAAACCTACGGCTTTCTTCCAGTCACTAACCTGATTCAACCCTCAAGGTCTGCTCCAACTGTAACTTCTGATTACACTTTTATCAAGAGTTCAAAACCATCTCCTTTTCCCAGGACATTAGTCTTGCGCGGAGAGGCGGGTGGACCACGGAGGTGCAGTCCTCCGGTCTTCCTAGAGGGGCGCGCCCGCTCGCACTTCCGGTAAGCAAGCAGCGGGAGGCCTTCTTTCTCCCTCCTTGGGGTCGGTGCCCGCAGCCGGCAGAGCGAAGGGTGAGTGGGGAGGTCTGGCAGCGTGGCCCCAGGTGCTTCCCAACCCGCCCCTGTCCGGCCTCAGTCCTCCCCGCCGCTTTACCTGGGCTCCCGCGGCTTGCCTCCGTAGAGCCGGCGGCTGTACCAGGGCCCGCCCCTCGAGGTTAGCTGTCAGTTGGCCGGTCGGTCAGCGCATCCTTTCATCTTTTCCACCGCTCATTCACCGGTCACTGACTCCTCCAGCACTTACCGAGCCTCCTGTGTGCCCGGCTGCTGGTTTAAGAGGTGGACTTGGCGCTGATGGGCTCCTGACTGCCCCTTCTCGGGCGGCCAAAGCGAGCTTTTAGGTCTCAGCCATCCGTCCTGGCTTCCCAGTCTGGGTGTGATCCTGTCAGACACTTCCGGAACACCTTCCACTTTCCCCTTCGTAGTTTTCATCACAATTAAGTTGGGTAATTAAGTGTGCTTTCTGTTTAACGTGCGCCTCTCGCTATTTTTAAGTTATGTGATGGCAAAGACACTGTCTTGATACCTTTTTTGCTCAGTGCACAGATAGGCACTCAATAAATATTTCTACTTTTATGCTTAATTGATTTGTGGTACTAGGGATCGAATCCAGGCAGGGCTCATGCATTTCAAACAAGTACTCTACCACTAAGCCACATCTCCAGCCCCTTGATAAATATTTTAAATAAGTATGTGGGAAAATGCAGGCCCTTTTCTAAAGGGCGTTTTGATTTGATGGGAGAATGCATTTATGAAACAATACTTCCTCAGAGTAGGCATCCAAGAGGATGTACCCTGGTGTCAGATGAGTTGGTTTCAAAACAATCAGACCATATCTCTTAGAAGCCATTAGCCTAGGATAAATTATTTCATATGTTCTGTTGCTCTTCAAACAGTTGAATGTACACCATAGAATGCTGTGAAGATTAAATGAATTAAGACACTTAAAAGGTAGATAATGCTGGAGTCTAATAAAGTTTCAATTGGTGTTTTCTGTTACAATTAAGTGATTAAATAGATTCATTGTAATGCATTACATTAGAAAGCAGATACATTGTAGAACCGAAGGCCTCAGCAAGCAGGATTGCCTGGATATACTCTGACCAGGGAGGGAAATGCCTTCTTCCAGAGGAAGGGGCTATAGGCAAGCTCAGTGTTCCCACCTCCCCAAGGCTCCACCCACCCACCAAACACCACACACACACACACACACACACACACACACACACACCAGGTACTAGAAAGCTGGTTTGCTAGACAGCTGCATAAATACCTAAATCCAGAATTCTGATGAGAAACAGTTGGTTTCTACCCCCACTGACAAGACTGCTTTCTCAAATTTGCACCATAAGAAGGTAGCAGAAGCTCTCCCCTGAAACACTAGAACACCTTTTTCCAAACTTCCTCTCAGTGGGTTGATGGGAGAATCAGTGGATCAGTGGACCTATACTTTCTTTTACCAACTGCTGGCTGGCAAATTTTCCCCAATAAAGTCTATTCTGTAACCCATACTTTGTGATGTGGAATTTACCCTTATCTGTGATGTCTTGGGTACCTACTCATTTTTTTTTAAATTGTTCAGGTTTAGTGAGGACCACAGATCAGAAGATGATTGCCTTTGAAAATGTACTTTGTTATGGTTTTCAAGAAAAGAGGGCATGCCTTACAGGGAAGCATGTGGAATTCCTCTGCCAATTGGTCAAGAGGCAGAGGGAGTGAGGGGAAATGGGCAAGAGCCTGTTTTGTGGGTTCTATGGGAAGAAACCATCAAGACAGGGTAAGCAAGGGTAGGATTGGCTGATTTGGATAATTTTAGTGAACTCTCGGGAGAGGAGTTCTTCCTAGTTGTTTGATTCTTGATCCTGAAATGTGAGTAGAGGGGAGTGATGGCCTTGAGTATGAGAGCCCTTTAGATAAGGTGGTGGGGCTCTGGGACTGTTGGTTTCATTTGGAAGGTATGCTCACAGGTGAGTTGTTTACTATCTCTAGGGATTGGCTAGTCCTGGGAGGAACAGTCTCTCCAGTATCATTAAATACCCAGATGCCAAAGCATCATAATAAAAAGACATGTTTTATACACCAGCCCACATACTCAGATACTTTTTTGTTGTTTCCAATTCCTATAGCTCTGCAATGTTACATTATTAATTCCATGTTTAGGAGAGGAAATGGGATTTCAGAAGGATTCATTTGGTGAATGATGTTGGACAACTAGTTAGAGACTGTATCATGAGTCTAAATTGGGTTGTGTGACTTCAAAGCTGGTCTCCAGCTCATACTGGGTACTGAACCCAGGGCCTTACACATGCCAGGCAAGCACTTTACCACTGAGCTATACCATCATCCCTGAAACTGGTGCTCTTTCTGTGAGCAAGATCACTTTGCTATGGGAGATATGAGAAATGCTGTGGGAACAATTTTCAGTCCATATTAGGCAGTTGACAATGTTGACCACTATGTCTTTGAATTTTCCAGTTCATTCTTTTATATAGATAGAAGGTGTTATGAGTTATGCATTGGGTTGAGTGATGGAGATACAATAGTGAGCAAAAATGTTGATGTACCTTACAGTGAAGTCATAGATAAACAGGTATTAACCAAATTATCCCACTAAAGTATATGCACTGACAAAGTGAAAAAAGTGCTTTGAGGGAAAGAAATGTTTTTAAACTTTGTCTCCTGTGTCTCCTTGACTAATCCAGGGTTCTTAACCCCTGGTTGTACATCAGAATCACTTGTAGAATATATTACAAATATAATTGTTGGGACCTAATCTAGGAGATTCTGATTATGCTTTAGTGAATTCCAGATAAATTCAATGAGTGCAGTCAAAGAGAGCTTTACCTTGACTAAAAGTACATTGCTCTTATTATAAAACAAATAAACAACAACAACAACAAAAACTGGTCAGAGGCACACGGAGAGAAAATGTGTAAGCATTCCTATTAATAGCCCCAGCCAAGCTTCCTGATATTAGCCACAATCAGTTGCTAGACAGTGAGTAATACCCCTTGGAAACCTCCACTGGAACCTTCAAATCTCCAGCCCAACTGATAAAAGATCACAACCACATTAGGGATCAAAAGTTGAAACTAGGGCCTGGGGCTGTAGTTCAGTGGCAGAGCACTTGCCTAGCATGTGTGAGGCACTGGGTTCAATCTTTAGTATCACATAAAAATAAACAAATAAAATAAAGGCATGCTCTCCATCTATAACTACAAAATTTTCTTTAAAAAGTTGAAACTAATAGTTAAACTTGATCAATAAACAATACTGTGAGAAATACTAGTCTATTTTTGTTTAAAATCATTAAAAACAAAACAAAACTGGTTATAAAAACAGATCAGATCTGCAATTTGAAAAGATCACTCTGGTTACAATGTAGATTAATAGAGTAATGGGGATACAGTGCATTGAGGAATTCAGTAGATAAKTTATTGTAAAGTATGACAGATGGGACAGTTAGGATGAATATGGTGGTGGCAGAGTTTAGGATGGGCAGACAGGCAATGAAATCAGTAGGCTAATATGCATTAAATAAAGGAAGGAAGTAAAAGAAAGAATTTTGTTATGGATGATTTCTGGCTATACAGCCAGGTAAGATATTCCTGTTACCTGAAAGGGAACCAATGGAAGAGAGCAGATTTGATGTGGGAGAAATCATGAGTTGTTTATGAATGTACTATTTGATATGCATTTGAGAAATTCAAGAGGAGTTATGGTGGGAGTGAAGAACTGTGGGTAAATAGGTCTGGAACTCAGATAAGAGGTCTATACTAGAAGATGGTAAACAAAGGTGAGGGTTAGGTAGCCTTGGAGGAAAGTGGAGAGTTAAAGGGGAGAATTTAGGACTAATCTTAGAGAATTCTGATTTAGAGGGGGTGGACCTATGAAGGAGATGGAGGAGTTTATATCCTTCCTTCAGCCACACACCCATGGAAGATGAGTTGGTGAGGCATAATATTTATAATAAAATTGAGTAATACCACAAACATTGAAAAAAAAAGGCAAGAGACATAACAGAAACTAATAGTCACTAAGGATACATAGATGTGATGCAGCCCTTGGTAAATGCTATGTACACAGGTCTGACAGTGCAGCATCATGTGATTCCTTTTTGTTAATTTTTTAACCTTATGATTTCTTAAATTTCAATTATCACATAATAAGAACTAAAAAATATATTTATTATTTTTCTTCTGCAAAAAATTAAGAAAAACATCCCCAAGTTTCTATTGTGTTTTGGTGTATTTGAAGCACCTGTTAATATCTGGTAAAGTATAGTTTAGGAAATGCTGCTTTGTTGGGACCTCAGACATAACTTTCTTAGTGAATAGCTCAGCAAATGACACCAGCAACCTCCAGTCACCAGGCATAGCCAGAAACCTGAGTCCTTCTAGATTTCCCTTTCTTCCAAACCCTTATTCAGTGTGTCCTATCTTTATATTTTTTGACTCCCATAGTCTAAATAGTTGCAACAAACCCTTACTCATCTCTTCTCTCTCTTTGTGGGCACATAGATCCTCCAGCCCTTCCTGTGGCCATGAGGGATCAACCCCTTGGACCCTGGAGGGCTTGGCTGTTCCCCTATAGTTATCTCTTCTCCTTAACTGTACCCCAGGCTCTGGCACATTATTCTTAACCAGGCTTCTACCTATTAGAAGCAATTGGGGACACTCACTTAAGCCCCATCCCTGGAGATTCTGACTCCATGAATCTCTCATGGTGCCTCTATACTAAGACATAGCCAGAGGTGACAACCATTAGTCTGGCCTCCCTAAACCATTTTCATTTCTTCAATAGGCCACATCTTCTCACACTTCTCCCCTCTCTCCCTGGGCTTGGTCAGTGGTCTTTCTCTTGTGCTCATCATCTTTAGATTTATCAATCTGTATTTACCTGTCAATTTCACATACTAAATAAACTGAGTCCTTGMAGACAGAACTCATTATCTTGAGACTCCTGTTTAGTATGCCTGCTAGCACATAGTTAATGTTCAAGTATTTTTTGAAAAAATGGATGAAGGAATCTCTTTCTCTTTTCCTTGTGCTGTTTCAGAATCTTGTGACAAATTCAAGAATAACTTTTCCTTGTTTGTACATGTATAGCCATTCTTCATAACTCCTTTCTAATCTTTTCATCATTATTCCTAGTTTATAGTAACAATCAAGGTTGTCCTGGGCATTAACCAATTCTGGAATAAAAAGGAGAAGTTCTTGAGGCCAGGCAACCCTGAGGTTATGTCTTGACTGGTTTGGGACCTTGGGAAAATTCATTAACTTTCAAGAAGCTTTCATCATCTGTAAAACATGGGGATCAAAATATCACATAATGTTACTGTCATGCCCCAATAAAATAGAATTTGTAAACTACCTGGCCCATAGTAGGTACTTATGAAGTGTGAGTTCCTTTCTTTGTGGAGTTAACTACTTTGATTGCAGAGCCCAGTGCTCTGCTCACTGGCTGTATGCCTTTGGTCAGCTTATGATTCTCAGTAGTCTAATTTGGAGAATGCCCACAATTAAGATTATCTTTATATAACACTATTTATTATCCCTAATTTTGTGCATAACATTATTCCCAAAGGTCAAATTGGTTTTGACTATATTAAAGTTTTGTTTCACATCCCCCAAAATTCTTGAATCATCTATAGATGTATCATTTATATGGAAGCTCCCTTTTAGTAAGTTTTCTTTATAGTGCTATATTCCCTGGCAACTGGCCTTCAAAAACCTGTATTTACATTCCAAGCATATGGTTTGCTTGTATAACACCAGCACTATCCACTTCAGGGCCTCCCTGAAGAGTTGGAATTCAGAAGGAATTCCTCAGATACAAGTTTCCATTTCTTCTCTGCCTCAGCTGGACAGCTTTTTCAGACTGTCTATTCCCAGAATGTCAGAAGAGATCACAGCATTGGCTTACCATGCTCCAAAAGAACAAGAAGGACTTATAATTGTGAAGGTTGAAGAAGAGAATTATGTTTGGGGGCAGGACTTTGGCCTTCAGAGGAACTCCCAGAGCCAGGAGGTCTTCCGCCTGCGTTTCAGGCAGTTTAGTTATTCTGACTCCAGTGGGCCCAGAGAAGCTATGAGCCAGCTCAAGGAGCTTTGCTCTCGGTGGCTGAAACCGGAGGCACACTCTAAGGAGCAGATATTGGAGCTGTTGGTGCTGGAGCAGTTTCTGGCCATCCTGCCTGAGGAACTGCAGGCCTGGGTGCGAGAGCAGGGGCCAGATAATGGAGAAGAAGCTGTGACTCTGCTGGAAGAGTTGGAGAAAGAACTCAATGAATCAAGGCAACAGGTAAGAAGTAGGTGTTTTGTTTGTTTGCTTGACTATTGCAAGTTAATGGGGAAGCTGTTATGAGTCGCATTGACTCCTCATGGAATTATCCAATTTCTATTTTATACCGTATTAATTATTCACTCATTGGTTCATGTCATTAGGATTTTTAGACCTGTTGTTTTCTCACTGATCATCTGAATAGGTTTCTGATTCCTTCTGTTTAGCCCTGTTGTTCTAGGGAGTTTCCTCTTGTGTTTCCTTAGAATCACAGTGCTAGTATTTGATTACTTMTAGGACTCTGCTCGTGGCCAGAAAATGATCTGGAAGAACACAACATGCACAGGAGTTCTGAAGTCTCTAAGTCACTCTTTGCGGTCTTTGGAGAGCCAATGCAAGAGTGAGACTCAGGAGCCCCAAGATTTCCACGAGAGAGGTGAGGATCTTTAACCCTTTTGGGGTTGAGGATGAGGTAAGGGCGATCAAGTGTTCCATGGTGCATTTTACTTAATAACAGTCACTTGCAGCTGTCACTAAGTATTGTGGAAAGAACCCCCATTTGCCTTGAAATACTCTTCCATTGGCTCTGCATTATTGTTTTAACTTGGGTTAAAAACAAAGGTCTTTAATAAATTCTCTATAATACCATGATGTTCAAAGACTAATATTCTGTTTTTAAAATAATACTTGAATCCCATTAACAAGGCAATTTCTAAGATGAAGATGAATACTGTATCAGTAACAGAAACTTGAACACAGAAAGTTTAACATTAAGAATTATGAACTGTTTTACAATGAATATATTCTGCTGTAATATAAACTAAATTAAAATAAATAAATAAATAAATAAAAGAATTATGGACTGTAACTAGCATTAACCATTAAGTGGTATAACTAAATACTAAAACTCTAAATTGTCAGGAGTAAGGCATGGGGGGGGGGGCTCTCGGCTTAAGGCAGAATGCCCAAGGAAGGAATGTATCTGCAAGAGGGTGCTATGTCTTTCCCCCATCTGCCAGGGCTGAAGTCCAGATCTCTTTGGAGAGGTAACAGCCATGACCCACTAGTTGGAGATGTTCAATGAAGTGCCCAGCTGGTCATACTCACTGAGGAGCTACCCTATGGGTGCCAGAAGCCTCCAATGGGGAAGTGACATGGCACAGAATTTGCAGGAAGCTGCTGAGGGGGGCAGTGCCTCTGAAACTCATTGGGGTATGCACTGCTGGTTGTCYCCCACACTGCAGAAACCGAGAGAGCACACCAGATCAAAAAAGAAAAGTTCCTTCCTCCTCTACTGGCCCTCTAGCCCCGTATACTATTAAAACCCATATCATGTCAGCTTGATGCCAGTATTGCAGATAGTACAATGAAGGGTAGATTTTAAATTAGGAGGCAATAAATTGATAGATGTCATGGGTGCTGAGAATTAGTACAAAAAGGACTTTGATTAAGGCAACATCATCCCTAGGGGCACCAGCTACATCAGCTTATTACTTTGTTGTCATTAGACTTTCATTATCATTCTGATTTCATCTTCATCAAGCAATCTTATTAACTTCCTATGAAACTTAGCTATAATAAAAATGCATTAATTCACTCTGTTTTGTATGATGATTACATAGTAATTTTCATGATGGTGTTATTACTCGGTTTCATGAACTTGGTTTATAAGATTCTACTCCAAGAGGGAAATCCATACCTAGTGTGTTGATTGAGAGGCATGTGATGACACAAACTTCAAGGTCAGATCCTGAACCTTAGCAATTCACCAAAGTAATCCATTCTATTAATCCAATGAAGTGTCCTTGAAAACKGCCTCTCAACCTTCCCCCATGCATCAGATCCTGATACTACCCTCTTAAGTATCCTTTGCATCAAGTAGGAGCTACATTAAAATGCATTTTTAAAAAATGATCAAATCACCTATCTTAAACAGCTAAATGGATTATAATTGGTTTTTCATYACTATAATGTAATACATGGGACAGCTAACTTTATAAAGATAAGAAGTTATTTAGCTCACGGTTTGGGAGCTTCAAGTACATGTCACCTGCATTGGCTCAGTTCTGCTGTGTTGCATCATGGCAGTGACATGATAGGAGAGCATGCAGGAGCAAGTGATTACATGAAGCAGTGAAAGTGACTCAAAGGTCAGACTCAGGCTTTTCTAGTCTCTCACAAGAACTCACCAGGGTCCCATGAGAAATACCTTATCCATTTCCAGGACAGGCTTCTAGGGACCACCCACTGAGCTCCATCTCTTAAAGATCCCATCAGTTCCTGCATCACRGCACTGGGAACCAAGCTCCCAAGACATCAACCCTTGGAGGCCAAAGGTATTCAAAATATATATTGTCTGAATCATTTAGGGTAGATTATTTAAGGTCTCAGGGGCCAGAGACTCCACTATAATTCCTTAAGTGCTTTTGGGATTTTTCTTATTAGCATTTTTAAAGGGACAAATTATATATTTCCAAAATTCATATATTGAAGCCCTGAGTCCCAGTACCTTATGATATAATTGTATTTTTTGGAGATAAGGCCTTTAAGGAGGTTAAATGAGGTTATTAAATGGGCTCTAATGCAATATAACTGGTGACCTTATAAGAGGAAATTAGTACACAAACAACACAGACTGAGATGACCACATGAGAATAAGCAAGAAGATGGCCATCTATAAGCTCAGGAGAGAAACCAAAACTTCTGATATTTGATTTTGGACTTCTAGCCTCTAGAACTGTAAGAAAATAAATTCCTCTTCTTTAAGCCTATTTTTGTGGTATTTTTTTATAGAAGCCTAGCATACTAATATTAAAGTTATTTCCCAAGTCTATATGAAATATTCCTAGCCTCAATTTGGTTTCTTTTGTTTGTTTAGCAGAGCTTTCATAAAACACTTGTACTTGAATAAGTAAAATGACCTTTGACCTTTGTCTAACTAAGCCTCTCACTGTCTCTGACTCCTGTGTTCTTTGTCTCTGTTTATTTTGTCACATTTCTCTGGTCATGTTTCAAATTCTCCACATTCTCTTGAGGTTCAGGGATAAAGACAAAGTAAAATATTTTAGTGAGGATCTGATTACTTTAAAAATGTAGATTTAAAAAAGAGTTTTCTCCCCAACTCTTATCTGTTACACTTTATTTCATTGTTTTTCACTTCACAATGACATTATGTTATAGATTCAATCACATTATCAGCAATAGTGATTGTCTTTTAGACATTTTTTGGACTTAGCAAAATTTCTCATCCTCATTTGTGCCTGGTGTCCAAGTGTGTGGTCTTTGATGGACTTGACTAGGTTCCTGATAAATCACTTTATGCTGATGTCTGAAGAATTAATGTGAATAATCCATATTTTCACCTAAGTCATAAAGTTTATATTACTGGAAGGATCTGCCTTGATATGATTATAAGAGTCACCATGCCTTTTTTTTTTTTACAACCTTGGGTTATAATTTTCTTGTAGGCTCTTTACTAGCCTAACAGTATGTCTTGTTAGAAGAAGAATTGGTGGTGGAGATATGGATGCAGGTAATTTATTAAGGACATGTTCTTTGGGAAAAATCTTAATAGAGGTTTTACAGAATTAGGAAGGGAACTGAGCAAGGAATGATATAGTCCCAGGTAAAACCTAATCTTGGTTGAATCCTTGGAAAGGTTCTGGAGCCTTAAGAGCATGATTGCATTGCAGAGTTGCTCTTTTGATGCAGTGGGGGCAGTGAGGGTGAAATAGTTTCCTGGGCTAGTGGCTTTCATCATCCAGGGCAATTCTCCAAAGAAGGGGGCCGTTGTGGAAGATTAGGAGTTGTCTTTGTTTTTCTCAATAGTACTGGAAATTGAACACAGGCCCTCATGTAAATGCCCTACTCCTGAACTACTCTCCCAATCTTTTTGTTTAATTTTGAGTCAGGGTCTTACTAAGTTGCCCAAGCTTGCCATTTTCCTGCCTCCCAATAGTTGAGATTAGAGGTATGCACCACCACACCTGGCTGGAGTTGTCAGTTCTGGCTGCTGTTCCACAATGTCATAAACTGAGTAGCTTATAAACAGCAGAAATTTATTTTTCACAGTTCCAGAGGCTAGGAAGTTCATGATCAAGGTGCCAGCATATTTGGTGTTTGGTGGAAAGCCATTCTCTCATAGATTGCACCTGTGTACTTACATGGTAGAAGGAGCCAATGAGCTTTGCTGGACCTGTTGTATAAGGGCACTAGTTACATTTATGAGGGCTCTGCCTCCATGACCTAATCATCTCCCAAAAGATTCCACCTGCTAATACCATCACTTTGGGAGTTAGGATTTCAGCATATGAATTTTTTGGGGAAAAGGATATTCAGACCATAGGAGGAGCCAACACTCACTGCAGCCAAGGGCAAGAGACATCAAACTAGTAGTGAGGTCTGCATTGGCAGTGCAACATAATCTAAAGAACATTAAGGCTAAAAGCAYCTGTCATTGAGCAATCAGAGGTCACATTCTTAGTTAAAAGGATTTTATACTAAACATGTCACTGAACGGGTAGCAGGTGTGATAAAGGAAAGAGCTATTCTAACAGAGAAGCCTATTACTTCTTTCTCAAAGAATATAAAACGAAAGACTTGTTTTCATACAAAAACATAACTTTTCCAAAGAAAAAATGAGTTTTAAATTATTTTTTTAGTTCAGCTACAGTCCTGCTTCTTTCCAAAGGGAAGGCAGATAACTCAGAGAAAACTGAAAATTTTGAGTTTAAGCAGATTTGTCTSAATTCTCACTCTACCAATTATTAATTCTATAGCCTTTCATACTCTTTCTGAGCCTCAGCTTCCTGATCTGTAAAATGTATATAAGTTTAGAGGACTTTGGGAGGATGAGAGCAACTTCAGAGTTCTAGAAATAATTCAATTGATATCACCCGTTTCTGTTGTAAGTTACAAGAAATCTAGAAAAAAAGAGGAGCATGTTGTATGAGAACTGGGCTTGGATCCAGGCAGTCACATTTGCCAATTGTTTCCATCGACCTTCTTTGATCCCTTACACTTGAAAAGATGGACCCCTAAGGCTCCCACCTAACCCCAGAGTGAGTCAGGAATCCCGATACATTCCTTTCTCATGCTTCGTATATCTTATTATATTGCTTGTTTTTTATTTGTTCCATTTGAAACCTGCTAGAATCTGCTATTGCCTTCATGCTTTCTAGTTCTTTTCCAGCTACCTTTGTTCAATACTAACCTCCTAAGCATTTTATAATCATATCTCCTGCTCTCTTACTTTGCTAGAAGTACCATTGATTTAAGACTCAGACATCTTTACCCTGATTATTCTGCATCATATCTTTTCCTTTCCTGCATTACCTAAAATACATTCTTCTCTACTCCAGAATCATCTCCTAGCTTTATAATTTCTCACTGATACTCCTATTTATCACCTCTAACTAAGGGCTTTCCTAGTTCATTGTCACTCCTCTCCAATATTAACTCTCCTTGTCTGTCTACTTGACTTTCAGGGGGTCACCTCCCACTACTCCAGGCCACTTCACTGAATTTTCCTAGATTAGGAAGCTAGTTTTAAGAAATTTTCCTCCTAATAAGAAAATACCTATTTCATTTGTTTTATTTTCTGCTCTTACTACAATAATTTCCTTTCTTTCAACATGGAGAGTAAATGACACTTGCATTTTCTATTCACACTTTTAGATGGCAAGATGGTAGCTGACAAAATGTTGACAGCAAAGCAAGAAATTATTGAATGTGTAGCCTCAACTGCTATATCTCCAGGAAGACTTCTTGGGAAAATTGCTTCAGTACAGATAGTTGAAGAAGCTTTGGACGGTCTGGACAACTCTGAGATGCAAAGGGAAAGTGCTACAATGAACAAAATGAGTCAGCTCCCTTCCCAGGAAAGACAGTACAGCCTGGCAATGTTCAACAAGAAAATCCCCACAGAGCAGTGTTTCCCTGAATGTCATGGAATTGAAGGAAATCTCAATCTGAACTCAAATGATATTACACCACAGAGAATTCACACAGGGGACAAGCTCTATGAGTGCTTTGACTGTGGGAAAGCCTTTTGCCAGAGCTCAAAGCTGATTAGACATCAGAGAATTCATACTGGAGAGAGACCTTATGCATGTAAAGAATGTGGCAAAGCCTTCAGTTTGAGCTCAGACCTTGTTAGACATCAGAGAATACACAGTGGTGAAAAACCATATGAATGTTGTGAATGTGGAAAAGCTTTCAGGGGCAGCTCAGAGCTCATTAGGCATCGGAGAATTCACACAGGAGAGAAACCTTATGAGTGTGGGGAATGTGGGAAAGCTTTCAGCCGGAGCTCAGCCCTTATTCAACATAAGAAAATTCACACTGGTGATAAAGGCTATGAATGTATTGAATGTGGTAAGGCTTTTGGTAGGAACTCTATCCTTATTGAGCATCAAAGAATTCACACTGGAGAGAAACCTTATGAGTGTAATGAATGTGGAAAATCCTTTAATCAGAGCTCAGCCCTTACCCAGCACCAGAGAATCCACACTGGGGAGAAACCTTATGAATGTAGTGAATGTAGGAAAACATTTAGACATAGATCAGGTCTTATGCAGCATCAAAGGACACACACCAGAGTTTAAGTCTGAGTAAGAGTTGTATAATTGTGAAATGCAAAAAATTCAYTTTGAGGATGAGACTCAACAGAAGATAGAATTTTCCTGAGAGTAGGGTGTCTGTCCTTCCAGCCCAGTTCAGTTCTGTAAGAGGAGATCCACATGATTGTTATGATTGTTAAGTGTTAAGTGGAAAGAATTTTTTTTAAATCAGGTCTTTGAAAAGAATGGTGGGTATTCTCTAGAAATGCCTAACTTTATCTGCATGAAGTCTCTCATCAATACCACCTTTACCTCACCAACCCAAATATAACTGCCACCGTGCAAGTCCAGAATTATGTACCTAAAAGAGCTCCTTACATGATGGCAAGGATAAGATCCCTGCTCAGCGTTTGTGCAGTTGGTAGGTGAAGGCATGTACTAAGAATTATTCAACTACCTGAATTGTTGACTTGTATGGGAAATGTTGAATTATGCCTTGGCTTGTTTTAACAAGATCCAAGGCAGTTTAATATTATCTGAGGAATGGTGGTTCATTGTTCCCACTTCCCGTTTCTCTCCACAGCCCTATGCTTCCTACAAGGCCAATTCAGGTTTGCTTTTTAATTAAGCACCTGCTGTGTTTAGCTATTTGGGACAGATATGGTCATTGCTGTCCCAGAGTTAAGAGTTAATGGAATATACATATTTACTAAATAAGTAAGTAAAGTGCAATAAGTACTTTGATAGGATAAATCCAGGGTGTTTCTGGAGTACATGGCAGGGCTACCTTACCTGATCTCTAAAGACTTCTTGGATGTGCTAACATCTCAGTTGAGACCTAAACTGTAGAAATTAGCCAGGTCAAGGGCAGAAGAAGGCAGAGGTTATAGGACATATAAGGCATGAAAAGAAGAGAATCTGGAGACATCAGGACTCTTCACTTAGCAGGAATTAGTTGTCATAGTCTGGCAGGACATGTGGCTAAGAAGCCAGGACATGTGCCTAGAAGAWATGTGTTGGATTTTCTCTATTTATAATCACTATACAGAACTTATAACCTATTACATTTTCAAGTACTCAGAATGAGGGTAGTAGAAGACTGGTACATCTTATGGAAACAGGCATGATGCACACCAAATAAAGAATATACATTGGAGGCTATAGGGACAGTGAGGGCTAGAGTGTGTGTTTTATGACCCTGGATCTCAGGAAATGGGAAACTTCCAGGGACCCAGAAATGAGAAGTTTGCCTTCCCAGACCCTATATTCTTCATTCCCTTACCCTAACCCTCAGCACCAGCTCTGTAAACTCTAAGCCACTTGAGGGCAATAAATATTTGTTAAATTAACCAGATTCCTCAAAATTATATTTTCCTAATTTTTACTTTGGCAGTTTTAATTAACTTACAATTGTTGAGGGTAATTAATACTTAAGAACTTTTTTCTTTTTKGGGGTACTAAGGATTAAACTCAGGGGCAGTAGACCACTGAGCCACATCCTAGCCCTATTTTGTATTTTATTAGACAGTGTTTCACTGAGTTGCTTACCTTCTTGCTAAATTGCTGGCTTTGAACTCGCAATCTTCCTGCCTCCGCCTTCTGAGCTACTGGGATTACAGGTGTGCACCACCATGCCCGGCCCTTAAAAACATTTTTGAAGACTTGATGTTCATAGTTACTGTGGGTAATAGAGATGAAATTGGGAAGGATCTTTGTGCCCAAAGTTTATGCAGTTGTCATTGAGTGAGATCAACCATAAGATTAAAGGGATCCTTCACATGGGATAGTGAGTTGCCTTTTCCTATAGGTGACAATCAAATGCTTTAATGTTTTAAACAGCATTTGATGGCTTTTCCTTATTGTAAATGCTGATAATACAGAACATATAAATTACCCACAATCCCTTTACCCATAGAAACACTTAACATTTTAGAGTACTTTGTGTTTTCTTCTCCAATCCTAACATTCTTGGCAAAAATATTATAAATAAAAGTTACTAATTTTAACATATGTTGAGTATACCCTTTAACTGTTCAGTATGAGAATGTAAAGCAAGATGTAATAAAATTTGAGTTTTAAAGTTTTGCTTTGAAATTATTCATTCAGAAATAGGGAGAACACTAACAGGAGTGGAAGATAGGAGATAAAGAGGTTGTGGGAATAATTCATGGAATTGGTATTCTCAATTTTTATATTCTGGGCCAAAAAGTGTCAGGAAACTATCTGGTCTCTATGATTGCAGTTCACTGGCAAAGTCATAAGAGGTGACATCTGGTGGTGGTGTTGAAGGACCATGAGAATGAGACTACTAGGGAATCTCTTTAAACACATGCATCTCCTAGTCCATTAGAATTAAGACTCTTCCTTTTCTTGGGGGGGGTGGTGGTGGTGGTATACACACCAGGTTAGAATCCTCAACATTAACTGCTGGGTAGGACCAAGGACCTGGGAGACCATCATGTCCTTCTTCTCACTCAGCAGGTCTACAATAGAAATCTAAGTTTAGAGAGACCATGGCCAAGGTTCAAATTTCCAATCCTTCCAGACAACCATTAGTTGTTGTCTATGAAACTGAGGGAGAAAGGGAAGGCAGGAAACCAATATTAATATACTGTGCCTCAATTGTACATTTTCTGTTTTTAATCCATTTAAAATTCATTTAAGGCAGACATTTTTCCCTCCAGACTGCTTCTAGTGCAAGAGAAACAAGACAGCCATGAGCAGGGGGAACATTATTTTTCTTTCCCARAAAAGGCTAGTGAAAGAAAAAAATTTTTCCTTTAATAGCTTATTAACAGTGCCTCTTTAAATAAACAGAAATGTTGAAGCTTCTTCAACTGTGGGATTATCTTCTTCAGCTCCTTTAACACCAACAACCAAAGGTCTTGACCACAAGGCTACTGCTTTTTTATATGTATATATTTTTTGGTACCAACGATTGAACTCAGGGGGACGTGACCACTGAGGCCACATCCCCAGCCCTATTTTGTAGTAGGGTTTCACTGAGTTGCTTAGTGCCTCATAGTTGCTGAGGCTGGCTTTGAACTCGCATTTCTCCTGTCTCAGCCTCCCAAACTGCTGGGATTACAGGTGAGTACCACTGAGCCTGGCTTGCTACTCCCTTTTTCAAGCGTAAGTCTTTAGGGAATGGCTTCTATTTGTACAGGATTTATAATTTTAAGAGGACTTGTTTATATGTATATAAACAAATATATATATTATATATATATATATATATATATATATATAATGTAAAATGGATAAGTCTGCCATTTAAAAAAAAAATCAGTGATAAAACCAAGGATAAGTTAATTTTGCTAACAAACTTGAGATTTGGAAAGGACAAATGCTGTGGAAAGCAAGTATTTTTTCAAAATATTTCCCCAATATCCTGCACTTATTTTTGAGTTTTCCTAATTTTTTTCCTTTCGAGTTTTTCGGTGCTGGGGATCAAACAGTGTCTTGTGCATGTTAATAAGTATGTGATCTACCACTGAGCTACACCCTCCTATCCTGTCCTCTAGCCTTAAATAGTGCAGAAAAATTTGAATATATAAAATCACAAGAAAACATTAAATTTCCTATAACCTTACCAACCCAGAGACAACCACTGGGATTGCACATTTCTAGTATTTTTAATGCATAAATGTATTTTTTACATGGGATCATACAGTACAATTGTAATATTTAACAATCTATCATGAATGCTTTATTTCAATATTAATCAACAAATTTTAACAGCTTTTAAGATTTTGTACATTCATGATGGTTTCTGAAGTATATTTATTTTCAGATAGAATTTCAAAGTCCAAAGGCAATGCTTAAGGCTTCCGGTAGTCATTGCTAAGATATTGTCTACTCACATGACACCAGCAATAAATAGAATCCCAATTTCCCTGAATCTCTTATCAATTTTGGAAGTGCCATATCAATTACTTCAATGAACATTTTATGAGATTGACATATATGTGTTGTCCCTTGGCACTTACTCTTTTGTGATTTTCCTATTTTAATGCTAGTTTTTCATGGGAAGATAGCACAGTGATTTTACATAGGGTTATGAGTTCTACCTTCTAGACATGACCTTTAGCCTTCACTTCATCTGCCTAAAACATGGGCTATAATGAGAAATAAATAATGTATACATACAGAGCCCTTAGCAAATACCTATTACATTTCTTACATGTAAGAGCTCTCTAGAGTATTTTTTCCTTCTGCTCTATATCAATTCCTATTTAATGTCTTTTCCTTCTCAGTTTGAGTATTTCTTTGTGGAAAAAGAGGAAAATGAATTGAGCAGCTCTCACCATGTATTGTCACATCTTACCATATTTCCAACTCATATCATTCTTCCATTTTCTCATATTCTTTAAAAATGGACGTTAGGTGTGCTGTCATTCTTACCAGTTACCACATGCCTACTTATATTCCAATAGGAGCATTAATTCTCTTTGCTTCTCATTAGAATTCTTTTTCTAGTCACAAGATTCTAGAGGATTTCCACACACATCTGTTTTTGGTATGTTGTTCCTCTATCCTGTTAGGTCTTTTGAATGGGGTCATGTCTATAAGAAGTGTGGGCAGAACCCACACTTCTGTTGCTGATTAACCTGTACAACTTTCCACTTTATAGTAAATACCAGCTTCTTTGTGCTAGGTTCCTCAGAAGAGGGGAAGTCTTGACTGATCACAGTTGTTACTTGTTGTCATTTCCCTTTGCAAAAGCTATGAAATATCACACATGAGGTGTCTGGAGAGTAAGTCACAGACCCAGCAACTGACATATTTTTTGAGCACCCGAGTCCAAGGAAGTACACTAGAACTATAAGGACAGAGCTTTGAAAATGAATGATTTGGCAGATTCCAACTCAGGGACTTGGGGATTAACCTGGCAACAATTCCAATACTGTAACAAAGGTGTCCTCATACCTAGGAGAGGGAGTCAGAATCTTAACATTTACCAAGGCTCTTTCTTAACCTCCACTTCCTCCATAGAAATTCTAGCCTAGCCTGTATGTTGGGCAAGGACACCACATATTAGCCCTTTCTCTTGGGTCATATCAACCAAGACAAAGCTACTCACTCCTCTGTTGTCCAAGTATTCTAGGATTTTCCTTTTTAAACAGAAATTTCTCGATTGGCTCATATATTGCATTAGGCACTGTGCTTCAGAGACTGGTTCTACCCACACTTCTTATGGACATGACTCCACTTCAAAAGAGCTCAACAGAAAATGCTTCATTGTCCTTTACCTGTTGCTCCTTTTACTATGAACACTCCCCCCTGGCTAAGTCCTTTCATCTTTCATGTCATTTCCCCTATTCCCTTACCCAAAGTTGAGAGCTCCTTGAGTCACATAGCACTGACCACACCATGGTGCTACTACATGATTGACTGCCTTGCCCATTACATGACAGAGATTATGCCTGATCTTCCATTGCATCTCAAGTACGAAGAAAATTCTCAAAAACAAAATAAATTGTTGGATACATTAATTTGTATTATTTCTTCTCATGCATATCTAATTTCTGACCTTCTCTGGACTCAACACTGATAAAACTTTCCTTACTTTTTTTTTTTCTGCTGTCAGTTCTGATTTAATAAAAATTTTTGATTTCCTGAGACAAACAGTCCCTTATGCTGTCTACTCTCTCCCAAAGTGGGGGCACAGTGACAATCAGATGCAGTGACTGAGCCTGGGTCCCTAACCCCTTTCAAGACATTCTCATAGAAAATGAGGTTTCAATGTCACATTCCTGCTTTTCATATTTCCTGAGTATTTTTAACAGTAAGCGAAAAGCTGGAAGTAATAATTCTTCCATCCTCTGCTTTCATTAGTCACAGGAAAAAGCTTTTAAGGAACAATTTGCACTAGCACTGTGTAGTGTTGCATAAAGCCTTAGAATGACTCATGACCTAGTAGTTAACCTTTATGGAGTTTTGCTCCAAGAAAAAACACTTCTAACAAAGATAAAAAATCTTACTGAAGCATTTATAATATTCATTGTATTCACAAGTTACTTTACAGTGTGGACTCTCTGATGGCGAATAAGGACTGATCTGTGCCTGAAAGCCTTCCCACACTCATTACATATATAAGCTTCATCCCCAGAATGGATTTTCTGATGCTGAACAAGGGCTGAGCTCCTTTTGAAGGTTTTGCCACATTCATTACACTGATAAGGTTCCTCTCCACTGTGAATTCGCTGATGTCTGATGAGGTTTGAGCTCAGACTGAAGGCTTTTCCACATTCATTACATTCATAGGGTTTCTCCCCACTATGTATTCTCTGGTGGGTAATCAGTTCTGAGCTCTGCCTGAAAGCTTTCCCACATTCATTACACTCATACGGTCTCTCTCCTGTATGAATTCGCTGATGTCTAATAAGCTTGGAGCTCTGGCTAAAGGTTTTCCCACACTCATTACACTCGTACGGCTTCTCA